TGTATCACACACAGTGTTATATTGTATTTTTTTATAATATATATATATATATATATATATATATATATATATATATAATAAGAAAAAGAAGAGGGGAAAAAGGGAGAAAATAGTTCTTAATTAGAAAAGCAAAGGGAGGTACAATTAAACCCAGAAAGCAAATATACTATAATCTGCACAAACAAAGAGTGAGAATGAAAAATTAAAACGCAATACGGAAGATTACTAGGATTTATAAAACAAGATGTGTCATTTAATTGTATTGATTTATGTATTATTTATTATTTTATTTTATGTATCACACACAGTGTTATATTGTATTTTTTTATAATATATATATATATATATATATATATATATATATATATATAATAAGAAAAAGAAGAGGGGAAAAAGGGAGAAAATAGTTCTTAATTAGAAAAGCAAAGGGAGGTACAATTAAACCCAGAAAGCAAATATACTATAATCTGCACAAACAAAGAGTGAGAATGAAAAATTAAAACGCAATACGGAAGATTACTAGGATTTATAAAACAAGAATGAGAGATCACTAATATATATGGCTTGAATGTATTTATATGAGTAAACAAGCAATTATGAGTGCTGATCGTCTTGAGTTACGCTGATTGAGCACGAGCTTTTCAAGTAACTCGTGCAGATCAGGAAGAACATGATGAACAGAAATCTATCATCCGAAACTTCAAAATGAGCCGATTCAAGCTTGCATTTCTCTTTCAGCGGCAACCTCGTTGGATAAATATAATCTCTTAAATGCAAAATAGATGCAGATGAATAAACACGACCAAATAGATTAAACAGAATGTTAAGCCTTGCATCACTAACGAAAACAAAATTGTGAAACAAATCTTAGGTCCAGACCCTTTGGTTCAAATCATGATAACATTGTTTTCACATCATATTTCCATGTATTTGTCCTCTGTACTCTTCAGAGTACTAACAATGTCAAAATAAAATCAAAATGATCAGATAAAACAGAATCACACTGACATTATTAAGTCACTTCAAAATCGAACGGTATGAATCACCTAATAATTTTACAAGAGCCTGTGATATCTACATAAATGAACCCTTCGAAGTCATCAACATGATGCTTTCCTGGTTGCTTATCAATACATCTATTCTTGATTATCACCACTGGACACGACACGAACGCCAGAATCAATGTGAATTCACAGAATAAGCTTACACAAAGTCATCAAATCATTACCATGGTATTCAAGAACTACGGATTTTAGGATTGAACAGAATAGAGCAATGCGCCCCTTTTTGTTTCTTCTTAGAAGAACCCGCACAGATCAAACCTTTATGGGCTCATATTTTTCACCCATAGCACCACCCTTCTGCTTCTGGAAATGAATGTATCTTAGAGTGCTAGCAAAGAAAGCATCAGCAGATGGATCTGATGGTGAATTATCATTTTGCATCTCAGTTGTGATCAATTCAATCAAACCCTGGATTACAGAACTCGTGATCTGAGGATTTCCTTTCTCAAAAAAGTATAGGTACCTGATCCACCAAAAGGTTAAAAATAATGGTTAAAGTTAGATCTTCCATCACTTTTGACTAAAAAACCATGCAATTTGGTAGTACTCTGAGCTTACTTGTTCAATATTTCAACAAACAATGAGACAGGTCCACTGCCACCCCGTGTTGCACTGGCCATCTGTTGAGCAGCATTTGCAATTCTCAAGGCGCGCTTTAAGCAGAGGAGGACCCTGAAGACATGAATATTGTTAAATTATAATACCAAAAGGTTGTGTGGTAAATATTCGTCTTCAAATTGCCATCTCACAAAGCCGTGTTATACCTTTCCTTCACTTGATAACAATGGTACAGATAAACATTTATAGTGACAAATAAATAATATTGCAAGCAGACAAATTTAGCCACAATTTTGGAACTAAATAGGATATATTATGCTTTTCAAATTTGTTATGTATAATAATGCATTAGTCAGCACCTTTCTCCATCCTTGATTCCATCTTGATCATCAACCCAGAAGAGATGTGAGCATGCATACACTGCTCTGCACTGATCTGGTTTCTTTAAAAGCTTTGCGGAATACTGCATAGAAATTTACTAAAAACTATTAAAAACCATGCCATTGCAGTATATCTAGCATTACAAAATTAAAAAAAACAAAGCACAACCCCTGTGGCTTTATGTGTCAATGTGTCCCTGTTCTCAACTCCAAAAACTTGCATCCGCTGAAGGGTTCCTATTATTAAATGTATAGCAGTCACTTGTGCTTTTGAATCCTGTTTCCAAATGATAAAAAGCCAAAAGTTACAGAGCAAGAAACAAAATAGAAAAAAAAAAGCAAAAACATACAAATAATATGCACTTTGAATCATTTACACATGAAGAATAGCTAATAGCTTTCTTCTAGTATCCCTTCCATACATTAGAGGATCCAAATAAAGGAACCATTCCGCAAGTGAAGCTGTAAACTCTAATTACTTACTGCAACTTCTTCTTCATAAAGAATAAATGCTTGAGTGAAGAACTCATATGCAACAGGTTCTAGATCGCAATCATTAGCAGCCTGAACAGAAAATAAAGACAGATACTCAATAAATTAAATAAATGGTAGTCAATACATAATGTTCGTCATCATAAAAGCTAACACACCTCAGCACACTGCAAGTACAGCCTTAGGGAAAGTTCTGGGGACGGAACAGATGATAATGCCTCTATGGTCTGGAAAATTTGAAGAAAAAGGAGATGAATGGCAATAAATCAGCACAAGCAAAGCAAACGAGAACTCAAGTGTTTAGCACTAATTACAAGAGTAGCAATCCAAACCACAAATCATAGGCACAACATGCATGAAGAAATAACTAAGTTACTAGCAGTTGGCAAGACTGCACCACTCTTCACATCCTAAAGAGTTCACTCCTTTTACAAAAGGAATTTCCAGACGTTCTCTCGGTACAAGATATGAGAACAAATATTCACTCAATCCAATAGCAAGCTCACTCGATTTACAATTTGAGGTTCTAATAGCTTACTAAGCTTAAAGTAAGATGAGATTCAATGGCACTTAAGAAATTGACTAAAGAAAATATTGCTTTGAATGGTAAAGTAATATGATTGGTATTGCTCTTCAATTTGTGGTGGTTGGAATGAATGAACAGGAGTAATGTAATGGCTCTGAATAGCCAAAATCTCCAACGGTTAGAAAACAAACCAGTTAGAGGAAGTTTGACAAAGTTGGAGATAGAATAAGCAAGCAGGGGACATGGTAGGATATGTAGCTGAAAGAAGATAAGAACACTCCACTATCATGAACAATTTCTGAGAAACCAGAGACATCGTAGAGAAAATTCGAGCAAGAGAGATTAAAAAATAATATCATTGAATATAATAACCTAGGGGGATAAATTTGTACTAAATAGAGAAGATCACAAAAGCCAAACATGATGTCATCTATAGTTTTTTATTATAATACTCTAAAAGGGTATGAACAATGATAGAACTGAACAGTATTATCCTTTGAGCTCAAATATAAAGAAGCTATGAAAATATAATCATCTCTAATCTAGTAAAAGCTCTGCTATATATAGGACAAGGATATGATCTCATATTTTACTAGAAAATGATTTTCAAAGAGACAAAACGGTTACTGTAAAAGCAACTATCATCTCAACTAAAATAAGCAAAGCGCTGCTAAAGAGCCCATGTGGGTTACGGTGACGCAAACTTTGCAAAGAATAGAACTGATAGATAAAGCACATGTGGAACTTGTCAATTCCTTGAACAGTCCATTATCTATTAGTTCAATAAGAAACAAAATCGCATTGCTTTATCCACTACACAGGCAGAATTTGCTACTGGACTTTTTTAGCAGCAAATATAAATGATTATGTCTCCATAGCTTTTTATATGAGCTCAAAGAATAATACTCATCAATTATATCATTGCGCATGCCCTTTAGAGTATTTAATCAAAAACTATCAATGAAATCATATTTGACTTTTGTGATCTTCTCTATTCAGATCAAATTCCCCCACCCCACCCCACCCCCCTCCTAGAATTATTATATTCAATGAGATTATTTTATCTTAAAGGGAAGCCTTTTCAGCAAGAGTGATCACAATAATTTTTTGGCAAAAACTTTCATTGTTTTTTAATCTCTTCCTCGCTCAAATTTTCTCTATCATGACTATGGTTTGTTTTCCCTTGACTTGCCTATCCTATCTCTAACTTTATCAAACTTCCTCTAACAGGTTTGTTTTCTAACCATTGGAGATATTGGCTATTTAGAGTCATGTCATTCATCTTGCTCATTCATTCCAACCACCACAAATTGAAGAGCCATTACCAATCATATTACCTATTCATGGAACTTCTATAATGGTTTTCTTAGAAATTCCCATGCACAGACAGCACTTTGGCGTTCATGCAGCTTCCCAGGTGGTTTATTTGGAACTTCCCATGCACATAGGGGGGAAGCTTATTCCAATCATCTACGCATCAATGCAGGGGGAGCATTTGTGAAAATGTTCCTTTTAAATACTCCGTTATAATTATATTCATCCAAATTAATTTAGTTGTCATTATCAAAAAGTTGAAGGCTATGAACCCTATATTTGACTAATGAAAACTAAATTAGTGTGTGTTAATATTGTGTTTTAAGTGTTGTACAGTTCAGATAGTGCATGGATGACAAATGAAGGCTTATAAGCCATACGATGCAAAATCAACAATGGAGCAAAATCAACAAAGCAAGCAAATCAAAGAAAGAAATCAAGCAAGCAAACAAGCAATAAGTTCGAGACTAAGAGGACTTGAATGAGGCTTTTGAATCTCGGCTGGAGTAGAAGCAAATGGAGTCTCTGTGAGTCATGGATGATAAATGAATGCTTATAAGTCATACTATGCAAAATCAACAATTGAGCAAAATCAACAAAGCAAGCAAATCAAAGAAAGAAAGAAAGAAAGCAAGCAAGCAATAAGTTCGAGACTAAGAGGACTTGAATGAAGCTTTGGAATCTCAGCTGGAGTAGAAGCAAATGGAGTCTCTATGTCATGGGTCTTAGGTAAAATTTGTGAAATTTGCTAATAGTAAAGTACGCAAAGCGTAATGGCACTAATCCTGTAGATTCCTTTGAATGGACCTTCCCTATGATCTTTCCATGCATCTGATAGGATCTCATATTTACTAGAAAATGATCTTCAATGAGACAAAACTGTTAAGGTAAAAGCAACTATCATCTCAACTCAAATAATCAAAAAGCTGCTAAACATTTTTGTTGCGTTCTCTATTCAGCTCGAATTTCTCCCCCCTGGATTATTATATCAAAGGGATTATTTTATCTTAGAGTGAAGCCTTTCCAGCAAGTGTGAACACAAGACTTTTTGGGCAAAATCTTTCATCATTTTTTAATCTCTCACATGCTCACAATTTCTATATGACAGCTTTGGTTGCTCAAAGATTATTCATGGCAGTGGAGCGCTCCTACCTTCTTTCGGCCACTTGCCTATTCTATCTCCAACACTAGCAATATGCAATCATGAACTACTCATGAAGACATCAATAATATCATTTGTGCTAATGTACACAGCTCAAAGCCTACAACTAAACGCCCAGAGGAGTCAGATGCATCAATTTTAAGGATTTAAAGTACAATAGATTCCAGAAGGTCTAGCGAAACAAATTGTGAGCATAGGATTGGATATTCTCAGTGAGGGAAAGGAAAAAAATGAAAGCATACTAGTCAATTGAGATTCTGAGAAATACACTACATGTGCACGCATGCACATGCGTATGAGATGGTCTTTAGGATTATTGGCAATAACCTGATGTAAGATCTGAAATATTTTCTTTGGTGTTGCGGGAACCTCTTCTCCAGCTACATCTCCATCCTGGCTTTGCAAACGCCTTACCAACTGCAAATATGTAAAGTGGCAGGAATGTTTAGCTACAGGAAAAAAAACCACTAACATGCAAGGTTTATGTTTGAATACAAAGGTTAAAATCTAACAAAACACTAGAATGGTGGTGTAATGTGTCATAAGTTGCAAGAAAATACATAGTAAAATTCACCTAAGTGGTGCAACATTCTGATAAAAAAGGGGTGCAACTTTGGTATAAAGTAAAGCAAATAGGATGCACGTTAATATGTTCCTTTTCACTGTCCATTGACAGATAAGGATAGCTTTAGGAAGCTGGCATGCAGAATAAATACTTAGGGCTCAGTAACAAAGGAGTTAACCCTTAATTTAGCTGAACAGAGAACAAGAATTCCTACAGCCGATCCCATCAGACAAAAGCTTAATCGGTGTTTTCTAGTGACAGTCATGTTGTTTGTGTGGAAGTTGTCTCATTCTAATTGAAGATCCCAAGGAGAATCAAATGAAAGAAATTACAAGTCAGATTATGTTGTGAATGTGGCCTGCATCAGACTCTTTTCCAACTACTTATCCTATTTGCCAACATATAATATCTCACATCTGCACAAACTGCCCAAAATATTCTCCTACGTTCATTCAAAAATGCAGATTTACCATGTCAACCTGATACACAAACAACAGTTGCCACATTAGCTATCAATCACAGTCTAGAACATAATTGTCACAAACACATAGTTGTTTCGTTAGTCTCCCCTTTTTTATAAACCAAGTTGTTTCCTCTCTTTTAGCATATTAAGTTATAAGACTTTGCAGTTGCAACTTATGCTGTATGCCATAAGCCACTACCAAATTCTGCCCCATAAAACTCAGTTCTTTGAAATCTGAGATTTGCCTGCATCGTGCCTGCATGCATCCATGTCCTACTATGTATAGCCTGGAATGCAAATGTATATGCATCATACAGAAACTTCATATAGCAAAAATAATACACATACCTTCAGGGCAGAAAACACAAGGGGAGGTACAGTGAAAGCGAGACGTTTTGGTCCACCAAGAAGAATATGCTTCCTCACAGTGCATATAATCTGTAACGAAGTATGTAGAACAACTAAATTCCAACGTGCAACATCACATGAGCAACTTAATAAAACCACCTTTAGACAGAGAAAGGAACTCAAAAGTAAAAGAAATATTGTCAGCGATTATTTTGAGAACGAATGTTGCTCCTTACAAACAGGAAATGTAATTAACAAAGGATCTTAGGTTATAGTTTTCAAATATTATAGCATATTTTATGCATAGAATTTATCAGGATAAAATATTTCAGAAATGTTTTCCTTAATATCATTAACACAAGTTTGGCATCCTAAAACCTATACACATGTTCCTGAAACATTTAAAACATCCATCAAAGGAAATTCTTAACTGTCCTTCGCTTATTTCACGCAACTAAAAAAGAACCATTCTAAAAGGGGTAAACCAAACTTTTTATGTCAAGACATAGTAACAGTTTGCTAAGTAATACAGTGTACAGATGGATAACTAACAGCTAAAAGAATCATCCCAGCATAGACAGTGAGAAGGGAACATGTAGCTGACTTCCATTAAATGTTTTATTTCTTAGTGTAGCCAAGCATTTACTGACTTCAAGTACAAACAAGACTTCTCGTCCACAATCTTGAATAACTAGAAGATGCTTTATTATCACAAACTTGCAGTATTGCAAAACTCTTTTAAACAAAATTGACCCGAGTAAGGTAAAACTGTCAGAGAAAATTTCCATAATCTCTCACATCACATAAGGATCATACATCTAAAACATGTCACAACATCCTGAATGCAGATTTGCTGACTAAAGTTCACATATGTGCAAAAGCTTTATGCAGTTGTTTACCTTCAGCATCTCTTCAGGATCATCATTGTATAACATATGAATAAGACGAGCAACAGAGTTCTGTTCCTCCTTGAAGTCCTCTTCATCAAGCTAGATAGAAAAAAATAATCAGAAAAATCTTCGGGGAAAGCAGCACGAAAAATAAACAGAACCACAGTAATGACAGGTTAAAAAAATGAAATGAGGGAAGGAGCTAGGGTCATCTCCGCTAGGGAAAAAGCGTTTCGATGCAACCATGTCTATGATGCACCAACTTTAATGTTATCTCAAAAAAGTGAAACAAGTAATGACAATATCAACTTCTGTGTGCACCTCATCATCTAGAGTCCCATCGATGTCCTTGATAAGCCCTTTCATTAGTTCAAATAAAGCTTCCACCTAGAACAACAGGCATTCATATAATTTTGGAAAACATTTTAAACAGATAAAAATACAAGAAATATGCCTACTTTATCTGCAGTAGATATGCAGGTGTTGTTCTTCATTATACTTTGGATAATGACCACTGCCATGACTTTATTTGTAGCAGTGTCAAGATGATCCATGACTTTCGGATAGTTTGAAAGATTCAAAGAAGTGACAATGTCGTTATACTTCTCCAACGGGGCACTCAAAAGTGCAACAATTTGCTTAGTTGCTCTGCTATCCTCAAGCTTTCCTTTGCCTGAAAGTTTCTTAACACATGCACCCTGTTGAGAGAAAAATCGGAATTGTGTCAACTAGAGATTTAAACATAACAATGTTTACTTCATGTTATATTTGTCGTTGAAGAAAAGATGTAGTCAGGTGGTCAACAACATTACTTCATATAACCAAGCATATCACAAGGTATTCAATGATATATATCAGAGCCTGAATGGATGTCCTAGCTACTTATTTATATGTCATTTAAACATGAGCTTAGTTTCTTGATAAAGCCCTTGTTTATGTGATAATAAACACCATTAAGATATTCTGAAACATACTTGAACTGCAAATACTCACACGCTCTAGAAAAATATAAGTAATCATACTTACCAGTATTTGATCGACATAATCAAGACGGTCAGGATGAACACGAAGAGTGAACGTAAGGAGCGACACATATAAAGTTATTACTCCAACAACAGGCATATCAACTTGTGCTTCAATGACCTATCAAACAGTTGCATCAAACAAGTGAATAGCATGAAAAACAATATCCAACTATTACATTTATTTAGAATCAAGCATAAGTTGTCTTTTGGTAGAAATTTAAAATCCATGCGTTGAAACTACTAATTCAGGCAAACAGTGCGTACATGAGGGCAATAAATTCAGTGCAAGCAAGATTGCGATAAACATCTCGACTATATATTAAAGAGAGATGATATATAAGCAGATAACTTTAAATTTTCTTATATATGTAAATAATAAAATTTCTCTCTTGAAAGAATCACACTTTAAGTGATGTGAGTTTGTACACGGTTTAATTAGAGAATATTGGTATCTCAAAGCTTGGGCATGCTTTAAATATGGGAAATATATTATATAAAGCTTTGGGTCCATTTCACTGGAAGAAGTAAGATAAAGCACTATAAGATAACAATAAAATAATGGATTTAAATACTACATGAATGCACATAAGGAAACAAGAAAAAAAGGGGAAAAGAATAACATATGATAAACATTTTCCTTAATATTAATGGTATTCTAGCAAACTATGAACAGTCTCAAAAGATCCATGAACGAGAGGATTATGGCATGAAAATTTCGGTTAAATATCCACTGAAATGTTCGAAACAAAATGCAAAACACTTAAATAGTTTGCAAAGTTATTAAGCCCATAATTTAAAATAACAAGCAATAGAATGAATCAGAAGAAGCCACGCAGACCAGTACCACGATGTCTAAGTTACACTAATTAGACAAGATAAGTACAATTAAGGAGCAAAGTAAACTTGAATATCTTTAAAGTATAAGAAAAGCAGTGGACTTCCTCGGCTAATTTGCAAAATAGGTATACCTTCCCAATAGCATTGCTTAATTTGGCAAAAGCTTCAACTTGCAAGAATTCTGGCAAGACCTACAGCACTGATATATCAGCAAGTGAACTTCAGTATTAACCAGATAAATAGCACATTAATGACTCACCTCTGCACTTGAAGCAGCATAATTTGATAATCTGTCCATAAGTTGAGACAGCACTGTCTTGATATCGACTGTTGGCTGCATAATAAATTAAAGCAGTCTAAAACGTAGCCCACAGAAGAACTCATTTTAAATCTACAGTAATCATTCAAACCATAGAATGAACTGAAATACTCATAACAGCTGATCCTATCAAACCAAACTCCCTCTCTCAGTGCCCATCCGCAAATGTAAAGAAAGAAAAAAATTATGTGAAACTACAATTTAACAGTTACAGGGAAACTTAATCAGAAACTAAGGATCCAAGATCGAGGAAGTAACATGTAACCAGGATAATTGAGATAGGTAGTCTAAGGACTTGTACCTAGTATGTGATGTTTTATCCTTACAGACGCATATAAGGCAGGTGCAAGAGATGCCCTAGTGCTCAAGTGCACTAGGTGGAATAGTTAGATTGACATTTGCTTTGGATTCCCGTCACTCTGAACTCTAGTACTTGAAAAATCAACTTCTGTTTAAATTTTCATTTCAATGAATCAATGAAACTCATCTTATCGAACAACCGAGAAACTAAATTCTAAATTTCTAATTATGTTGGAATCTCTCTTGTATGGAAACTGAAGCTATTAGCAGATAAAATTGAAGGGCATATTATAGCTCAATCATTAAATAGAATGGTTTATGTGACCAATATTTAAAATTGATTGATGAGAATCAGAAATGATGCTTTATCAAAACAATAACACACAAATAACTAAAGCACTACAAATAGTCATACCAAGATTAGCAGGTGTGTTTCAACCAACCTGAAGCTGAGGGCATGCGCCCAACAATGTTTCGAGAGTCTGTAAGTGGTATTCATCAGGGAAGACTTGAATTATACAGTCCATCAAGTAATACTGAGCTAGCTCATCTTTACAGTTAACAACCTATTAAACACAACTGCAAAAATAAATATAACAGAACATCGAACAATATAAGGGTATGAATGTCAGTCAACACTTGCCTGCTCTAATACTCTGGGAAGTACAGTTTCTTTGTACATATCAAGGTCAACACCCTCTATCTGACTAAGTACATGCAGGTTTTTGCCAACCTAGAGAGGAATTTCAGTATAAGCAAAAAGAAGTTGCATATAAAAAAATGAAGCGCTTTGCATTATCATCATCACGGATGGTAGTCAGTTAAAGGGTACTAATATTACAAGATCACGGAGCTCGTTCCTCTCCTTTTCCCGCTTCTCCTTCTCCCTGGCAGGTCCCTGCAGACCAGACCGAGTCCGAGATTCAACTCAACACCTAACAGTACCAATAATTCAAAATCACTAAAATACTTGCATGATCAAAGCCTGTGCAAGCTAAGAATCATGCCTCTGATACAAGTTTCAGAGCTTAGTCTGCCCAGGTACCAGAATGCCGTTCATACACTAAGAAGACGGCATGAAACATTAACAGATATTTACCTGATGTTGCATCCTGACCCAGAGTTTATTCATCTCTATGAAGTTCTGAAGGACAAACTCAACGGCATCTATAACAGTATCTGCATCCCTAGAAGATGGCAGTGCAAATTTGAAATTAAACTCAGGCACCAAAATGGCTCATGGACACTTTGGAAACATAGTAGCAAATGTTAACTATCACCATATCCATCCAGTAAGAAATAAGTTGAGACAAATATTGCTATATTTAGAGCAAATTTGAAGCAGAAAAGAAAAGCTTAAGATTCATGAACGACAGTTGATTGAGAACTCAATAGTCAATATATACTATTAACACTTCAAAATATACCCTGATCATCAAAATATGAAATGCACAAGTTTGTCGTCAGTAAGGACGGATGCATGTTGTGTGCTATGGGGCACATGGCCATGTGCAGTTCTTTTCCCAACATAAATCTCTGTGCTCCTATCCATGTAGTTTGAACTCTGAAATTTTTCATTGCACTTATACATGACTAAGATATAGGAAATAGAATGCATATCCCACAATGACCCTGCCAGCTCCAGAAATGAAGATTAAACTATTTAATAGGCCTATGTCTATGTTGCATGCGTACGGGTACAGGTACAAGACACGACAAATTTGTAAAAGGTAGGGTACGGGGACACGGCTTTTATATACACATATATTATATATTGGCATTAACAATTTATATGAGAATAAAAGTCCTATACCAGTCTTATATTTATTTTATTATGTGGATTATAATCGGAAAATCACTAGTTTTTGAACTAGACATCCAAATGACTCTTCAAAATCATAATTTGGAACATGACCTATGTCCAACGAGTTTCAAGAAGTGGGTGTGAAGTGTAGGATTATGTACAAAACATGTATGACAAGTGTTTTAAATTAAAACATGTATTGTATAATTGAGTACATGCCCGAATAAATGTATGTATTTATGCAAGGAGCGTCCAAGGAGTCTGGGTACAGGTACGGGTATGTGTCGGGTATGGGTCAGATTAGAAGCACTCAGGTAACATAGACCTACGCTCACTGATATCAAATGAAAAATATAGTGCGTCCAAGGAGTCTGTGTACAGGTACGGGTATGTGTCGGGTATGGATCAGATTAGAAGCACTCAGGTAACATAGACCTACGCTCACTGATATCAAATGAAAAATATAGTACGCCACCAATCAAGTAACAGGAAAAAAAATATCAGTTGCCAAGAATACTGCACATAACATTTTTCAAAATCTTATCAGCTACCAAACAATCTAGAGTTCTCGAGCTTATATTCAACACAATCTCAAGAATCAAGGCAGGTGACTCACAAGAGATTATGGAACTTTTCAGGAGAGAACAAAGGGTCAACTAGATTAAATGACGAACTGTCATATAAATGAGACACTAGATATATAAAGAAGCACCCTGCAACATGAATGCCTTTACCAGATTTTAGAGACTGGCATGTAGACATTTTACACTATAGAATAATTGAGGTATCATATATGAGGCAACTTAATGAAGTGACTGAAATGCACTGGAAGTTTTCAGAGTGCAGTTGATGATCTACAAGCAACAGATATAAATTTTGAACAAAATATGTCTCAGAGATGTCTGTTAAGCAAGGAAAATTACTTTCCTGCAGCAACTCTTGCAAAATAACTACAGAAGAAGAGAGAAGAACAGTTGTCTCTTGGGTTCTAAACTGATTTGATAAGTAGTCATTTAGTATTACCAAATCAAACTATAAAAAGGCCTCCAATAAGAATATCATGAGCACTCCATAGTCCATACTATAAGAATTTGGCCCATAATAATAATACAGAATTGGTTAATTTCAACAGTCATCCATGTCAGCTGCTTCATCAAGCCTAAGGACGCCCTGTCCAATTCTCCAAATTATACTACAGAAAATAACTAATGAAAAAAGCTGTAAATGTTTGAAAATGATATGAGAGACTTCTGCATCTGTCAATTGAGTAAGTCTTTGAAAGAAACAGGAAAGGGAAATAACCATTTCACAGTAAAATTGGAACTTGAAATCTTAATCATGAAATATTACCCCTCATACTCTGATCCAATATCAGGCAACTTGTCCCTGCTTACTTGAGAGAGATAGCTCCTCAAGAAAAGCCCACGAACAGGATGTTGTATGCCACGACACATTTCCACAAGGTCCTTGAGAACATCCTTAGCAGGAGCCTCCTTCGATCTTATGTATACAGATCCTACTGTACAGAGGAGATACCTGCAATAACCAACAAAGGAAACTATATATGTGAATAGCCAAAAAACAAAATGAAAAAGACTAAAAGATGACCAGCATGCATGACCAAGATAAACATAGAGTTAGACATTTTTTTCATGATGATAAATAAAATTATAAACATAAGAAAAAAGGCTCTGTAGTTTTTGTTGTTGAAAAGGTCATGACTCATGAGCTATGTTACCCGGGTACTTCTATAATGAAGCCGTACCCGTACCGGACACGTACCCGACACTTTCCCGTACCCAAACTTCATGGACACTTCTTGAATATATGCATGCATTTATTACAACATGTACTCAATTATATGATATATGTGTTAATTTAAAACACTTGTCAAAGACTTCCTGGACGTAGAGCTTACACTTCACATCCGTCATTTGAAACTAATGAGATACGGGTCGGATTCGTGTCAGTCCATACCCAAGTTTAAAACTATATAGTTAATGGGTCGTTTAGATGTCTAGTAAAAAAAATGAGTAGTTTACAATTCACGATAATCAATATGATAAAAGAAACTCAAAAATGTGATCGGAATTTTAATTCTAATGACACATGAAGGGGGAAATTTTTATCTTATGTACAGTATTAATTCAATATATATATGTAGTCGTGTCCCCGTACCCTACATTTTACAGTTTTGCCGTGTCCCATACCCGCACCCGTACCCGTTTCCATGCAACTTAGCTCATGAGTGAAATAGCCCCAGATACAAATGCAACATGTTAAAGTCCCAAAAGAAATTAAGCAAGAGGAAAATGCAAGTAAAGATGCCTTCTATATTCTATCTGATTCAGGAATCATGCCTTCATCAATTATATTACTATCCTCATTTGCAAATAATCATTGGAGATGACTGCACTATTTATCTTTTAGGAAATCACATTGTAAAGTTGTTGTCGTTGTAAAAAGGTTTTGAGATGGCTGTTACAAGTTGTCTCTTCAAATCTCAAAAATGCATCTCAATTACAACTGACATAAAATATTGTACCATGATAATTATGTTTGGATCTTAAGGATTAATGATGCTGAGACTTATCTTTAGCTTAACTATGAGCGTAGGGATATATATGTGAAAAGAAACACATAACCTTTGGGAACATGGCTATATAAAAATTCATGTTTGAAAATCATGGACTAAGTTTGAGGACATCATTATACACAACAAAAGACGGATAACATTATCAAGAAAAGGTCTTTCTGATATGAGGGCAGGGGTTTGGAACTGCTTAGGTAGAAGAAATTGAGTTTCCAAGAAGATCACTCACTTTTGTCTATAATGGAACATTGATAAAACAACAAAGAAACAAGAAGATGAGAGAGCTAACAAATAAGATCTCTGAGTAATTGACCTGCAAGAGTTACTCTTTGGATATTCTAACCGACTCCTAAAGCATAATAAAATTGCAAGTCCTGGGAACTGCATAAAAGCACTCTGTCTAGTAGTTTACTGCAATTAATCCTGTAAGACATACTGAAATCTAAAAAGAGGAAAAGGAAACCCAGTTTAACTTATAAGAACACACTTCTAGCTGCTGGAATGAATCATACTTTGCTGCTAGGTTGCCTGGGTACAGGTACGGGACATGGAAATTTTGGAAAATGTAGGGTACGGAGCAACAGCTATGTATATGCATGCTATGCATATTTATATGTATTAAAATTAATAATTTACATAAGATCAATAATGTTTTTTTCATTTACATATGATCAATATATAAGGAATAGATGTGAAGTGTAGAATATACATCCAAGAAGTGTACAATGAGTGTTTTATATTAAAACACGTAGCATGTAATTGAGTATAGGCCCAAATAAACATATGCATATATTCAATAAGTGTCCAAGAGGTTTGGGTATGGGTACGGGTACATGTCCGGTACGGGTATGGCTTCCTAATAGAAGTACCCAGGTAACATAGCTTTGCAGGCTACATCTGTTAACCATACAAAGATACATGACCAATTTAACTATATAAAATGTTCCCTTTTCTACACTGACTACAGGCATTTATGATTCATTTCACAGAGAAAGAGTGAAAAAGAATGGAACACCAACACCATAGGGTGTCATAGAAATCTTCTTTTTTTTTAATCTAACATATATCTGTAACATGCATTTCATCTAAATTCTTTGAATTTTTGGTACTAAAATATCGAGTAAGTAAATTACAGACAACAGACTTGTTTTCTATAGGAACTTAATACTCAACTGTTAGCCAAAAGATTCATATTGTCTATAGTGGAACTCATCTTCAGCATTTGAAGATGATACTCAAACAAAGATTTTTGAAGTTTTAATTCATGACTCACAATCTAGGCAAGATGTTGCCGGCATGCTGCACGAGCTCGTAGAGATCGATCACGGAGCATCTGCTCTTCGTCTCCTCTCTGAAGAACATCTCCAGCTTCCTCAGCTCATCAAACGCCCTCATATCTTCATCCCGATCATGACAGAAATAATTGAATCAAAAGATAAAGAAGTGAACAAGCGATCAAGTCAATAGAAGATTAAATTGGATCACATACAGAGCTCGTAGTATTTGTGAGGAGAAAGGCGAGAAGTCCTGAGCTCGGAGAGCATCTGAGCGGAGAACTTGAGAGCGTCCCTCAGGTTGTTGGAATCCTTGATCACCGTCAAAATAGAGAGAATTGAGTAAGGGTTTCTTGATAGACTAATGTAAAATTAGGGTTTAGGGTTACTGACGAGAGCGCGGTGCATGTAGAAGGCATTTTGCTGGAGGCCGGCGATGCCCTCGGCCAAACACTTCTCCTCGTCTTCAACGCCCGCGTCGACCAGCATTTTTTTCCCCCTTTTCCTTCCTTCTTTTTTAATTGAAATTTCGATCAATCGCTTGATCGATTCTCCTCGCAATTATCTTCAGATCTCCAGTTTCTCGGCGAAGTGGAATTTTCGTTTTACCGATGTAGAGAGGGAAGTGGGTATGGATCTCGGAGTTGTGCACTTTATTAGTCCCATGTTCACTTCGGGTATGGATTCCTAAGAGTCCCAACCCGACTAGTCCTTGTACACACTGTAATGCTATTAGAATTTTGGGTTATTTAATATTAGTCCCTCAAATCTTCAATAACTACAGATTAGTTCCTAAATTTTGAGGAACTGGTATCTAAATAACCCTAGAATTTTATTAGGTTTTTAGCACTTGACTATGAACAGCTCTTAAAAGAGATAAATTGGCAATTGAATTTGAATCTGATTGTCAAACTAAATTCTCAAATGGACTTCAACAGTGTGGTCCTCAACTGTATAAGATAAAATATTTTAAATTCACACTAAAAGCCTCGATCATTGAAGAAAATGAGACAATGAATGTGTGAAGATAGGGCTCGAAATCTAAAATGCGTAATTTCCCTACTAAGATTGAGTTTTCATTTCTTTTTTCTTATATGAGCTTGGACTTCAATGAATTATTCTTTTAGAACTTAATATCTGCAAACGGGCATGTGTTTTAAATCAAAATTTGTTTGAAAATCTACCTCTATTGATATGTCATCAAAAGGAAGTTTTTAAAAGTAAAAGAACGAAACAAGTGAAAGATGATGGAGTTTGGAAATTATAAATAATATAAAGAGTTTTACAGTTATGAAATAAATCAAAAGCACATTCCCTTAGGGAAAACTTCCCCCATCTACCTAATCGTCGTACTCCTTTCATTGGCGATATTTTCAATAATACATAGTCCCCAACCTGGAACTCCAATGATCGCCGATGTGTCATAAGAATTATTGAGGACAGAGAAATGATGACGCCGATTATGCATTTAATGCCATTTATTATGAGGTGATCAGCTGTCAATGCGCGGGACGGGACTCAAGGCTCGAGGTAGTCGTTGCATTTCTACTCATCCGTAGAAGGTCGAGAAGTACTGCCTTTTGAGTCGCATTCACGAGATGTCAGCAGAATGGTCGGTCGAGTAGGTTGATCAAGAAGTCGACCTAGTCAGTGGTCGACATGTAACGCCTTTTGAGCCACCCTCGCGAGATGTCGGTGAGTCGAGTCATCCGAGCTGGGTCTTTGATTATCTTGAAGTGAAAAGCTAGCTCGATTACGTATAATATGGGACACTTGTCTGTTATTGATTGGAGATTACTTTTTAGCACTAAAACGGCTATAACACTTTATATTTTAGAAAAATAATGAATTCTCACTTCATGTTTTTTGTTTGGTTTTTTTTATGTACAATCCTCGAATTATAGTTGTGTTTAAATTTTCCCTTTAAATCATCATAATCCTAAATTTATCCCCAAAATTTATTTATTTTAAATTTACCGTTATCTCCACTTGCTAATATATTTTTAATAGAAGTTAGGACAAAATTATCTCTTTAACCCTATTTAATTATTGTAAAATTAGAAATAAGTAATCGTTAACACAATTCATAAAAATCCCAAACCCGGCCAATTTTCTCTTAAAAACCCGCGACTCATCCTTAATCTTTGATGCCTCTAACCTCGCTGCCTGCTTTGTTTCTCACACAATTCCTTGCCCATGTACGAGAAATCAAATTTTTGGCGCGAACCCCCCATGTAATCATAGATGAACAAACATCAGATTTCTCTAATCCCTATATTCAGTTTATGTAAGGTAATATCATTTATCTATTGGGAGTCTACCGTTAGCTAGGATCACATTTGGTTTTGATAAGTTGTCAGCGAAAGAGTATGTTGTTCAATTTGCTAACTGATTGGATCTTAAGTTCACTCTGTGCATCCTCAATCTAACATTTAAAGCATTTGAGAACTTTTATTTGGGACCGGATGTGTAGGCAATAACCTTCAAGAGGACTCTCACTTGATGATGATTAATTAACATTCTGGATTGTATATCGGTTGTAAAATAGGCAGCAAGAAACTTCAAGAAGGCCACAATTTTGTTGTACATGATAGGCTTATTAGGGAGAAAACCTAAGAAAACAGCAAGTGCGAGGAAATCACAATTCGCTCTATCTGGGTTTTGTTTAAAAATAGGTTAGGTTATGAGTTAAGGGATAAGATTTTTAGTCGTAATTTTTTTCTTCTGGTTTTCTTTTTAATGACAACTACAAAAGGTTAAAGAACTAATTTAGCCCCTAGAATCCATTAAAATATTAACGGCAGTTAACTCGGTTAAAATTGAGGAAACGAAGAAATTTCAGGGATTCATTTAGAATTATTGTAATTTGGGGGGAAATTTTATAGATACCTCTAATCTGGAGGGTATACATTGAAAAAATCCTTTAGGCCCCGTTTGGCAAAGGGTTAAGGAGGAGGGATTAAAGAGAAGGGTTAACTTAGTTAACCCATCGTGAAGGGTTAAAAAAATTCTAAACCCGTTTGGATATGATAGTTAAGACAATGGGTTAAGTCTTTTGTGTTTGGCAAATGAAGAGGGGTTAAGGAGATTAATCTCGTAATTTTTTTAAAAAATACCACTTTCGCCCTTATTGAAGATTTATAAATTTCCACCAAACACATCAAGCTCCATGCCCTTATTGAAGATTAATCTCATGGTTCTTAGACTTGCTAATGATATTTTTTTGAGAAAAGATTTGCTAGTCATATTAGGAGAGATTATCAAGAGAGAAAATGGAGCAAAAGTTGCATAACATAGCTAGTTTGTGTGGTTATTGTGAATTTTTTTCCTTTTTTTTCCTCCTAACTACAAAATAGATATCATTAAATGAAAAAGTTACATGTTTTCAACTCTCATCTTGAGAGTGAGCAGTTTCAGAAGTGAGACATCCCTCACTTTTACAAAACCATTACACCATACATGTATGTGTAAATACAAAAGGTCATGTGAGCTATATACTTTGGGGCTCTTACTAATACAAAATACACTGAAACCAAAAAGAAAACCAGTTCTCATTGCTACCTCCTCATCCGAGATCCGCATTGCAATTGACAAAATACAAAAAGGTGTCTGACACACCCTCTAGTGACCTGGGCACCCACGAAACCAGCCTTGCAACTTTGGAGAACACTCTATATCTAGGTCCAAGTTATGCCCCGGTTGCACATGATTCTCTGCTACAGTGTTTTATTGAAATGCAGGTTCATCATTTTCCATTATAAGATGGTCTGGTTCGTTACAGGGTACATTCCCATATATGCTGCCGAAATGAACACTGACATCCTCTGCAACAATTGATCCAAACCAAAAAAAAGATCCAAAATAGTGTAGAGAGAACAACTGAGAAATGCACAAACAGTTTCTGGTTCATATGAAAACAATTCCAACAGAGAGGCCACCCGCTGGGGGAACACAACAAAAACCATTGCAGCAGAAAACTCAAACCCTCTGCTACAGTAATTTTTGAATGTAGAAACACCCGAATCAGTGCCATACAGCTGGTGTCCTCTGCTACAATGATTTCTGAATGCAAAACACCCACTTCCAGCAGATACCAAGGCCAGCAAACAGGCTCCAACACAGGATATCCCAAGACCAGGCAATAGAAAAAAAATCCAAGAGAACCAAACCGAAAGCCATATGCCATAAAACCAAATTGTACATACCAGAATGTTGAAAACACCTGGATCCGTGCCATATAACTGATGTTCTGAACCGATTGCATAAGTTCGCTTGCAAAATCTTCAAATGAATTCATCTTCAACCAAATTAAAAACAAAAAAATTAGATGTCAAAGGCGGCAATATCATCAGCAAGCATAACTCTTAACAAAGATACTTCTATATCATAATACATGCAAGCTTTCAAAAATTGCCAAAAGATGAAAAATCTTGTATGGCAGCTGCTTTCTGTTCTGCTGACCATCTCATATTTTGTATGACTTTCTCTTGGGAACTAAATTATGGCAATCTGATTCTATTTTGCTTTAATGTTTGTCTTAGCTATAAGTATGATTCTATATAACAAATCATATCATACTAAAATCTAATCACCACTGAATGCTTGATGGAAAACTGGGTCAGGTTTCTAAATGCCCCATTTCTGAGTCTTTGAACAGGTTCAGATGTTGACATTTATTTGACCGAAATGAATGCTGAACTTGAATGTTTACTGAACAGGTTCATATGCTGCACTCTACTTGGTATCCCTATTTTCCATCAAACGGATGTACATTATGAAGAAGTACAAAAATGGGAGGTCAATCAAGGATATATGATCACGAAAAAGATACAAATTCGCAGAGGCTGGCATAAAACTTTTCTAATGAAAAAGTCCAAAATAGAAGTGCAATAAGTCCCACGCTATGTGCCTATGTGGCACAAGGCTCACAACTTAACTCCAGACCAACAATCGAGAGCTAAACAAGCTCGAATCATATGTGCAACTGGAAAAACAGCACACAGATCCGCATGAACTCTCACAGACACATCCCATGAATCACAGGTAAGCACATGTGTGCACAAGATACTTTCACAACATACACTAATTATCCAGAAAACTCTTTATGTATTTGCCAACAAATAAAGTAAATCATAAATGTGTTTGCGTAAATCAAATGAAACAAAAATAACATGATCAAGCAGTAAAAGGAATATTATATATACACATTCAAACAAGGAGATGCCCCAATGACTGTATTAACTGGTCACAGGAGATGGGACTCATGTGTCAACTTGAAGGAATAACAAAAGTAATGGTTTTGCACTTAGCATGAGTACTTTTGTAATGTTATGTCAGTTTGTAATAGCAACAGAATCTCTTCTGGTTATCAAATATGTACTTTGTATACTTTGCTTATATGAGAATATCTCTTTTGAACATTTGTACCACATGTCTAATTTCTTTATTTTCTGTTCTTTTTTCTAATCAACATGTTTAAAAACAATTTCAGAAATGCATCAACTGTGTCACTGAAAATGATAAAATAGGAAAGGGTTTAAAATAATGTGATGGTTTCATCGAAATAAACTGGCTACAAGAATAATAAGAACATCGTACAAATTCCAGGAAGGAGAAACAATGAATATTGTTGTATCCTTATCCCAGGAAGCAATAGCTCATTTATTGCAAACTTTCAGCATTAAATACATCTGGTTATATCTGAATAAACAACATAATTTGGCAATCTAATAGGGCAAAGGTAATCCACAAAATCTTATATAACATAGACCTTTGCTGCAAAAACCTGCTGCAGTACAGGAGGTTTTCTCTAATTTACTCTAGACACAAAAGTAAAATCATCATGAGGCCAAAGATTAATGGATGAACAAGGAGAACTACATTTCACCTTCAGACCCTTATATTCAATGATCGTTAAACATTATCCATCTCCATCATAGATTACCTATGTAGATGCATTTGATATAACACAATTACTAGAGGAGGAGCGAGGGTTTTTTTTTTGGGGTGGGGGGGTGGGGGGGGTTGTGATCACTATAATAAGTCCAACTGAACATGATGTGCATGACTCTAGTGCATTTACATAATACATCAATATTTTTCTAATGTCTGAATGTTACAGCTTGAAATATACATTAATGAAATACATGAACTTGCCCCTAGGGAAGTAACTAATTTATAAGCTAATACATTATGCTGATGATATATGAATAAGTTAATATCTGCAAACAGCACATTTGACTCTCTCCATGGACTCTATGAAAATGAATATCAGCTATCATAAGGATACTAAATCTGAAAATACGGGTTCATGAGATTTACTTGGATAGAGAAGAATAGAAGAACTAAAGAGGAAGCACACGAAATCAATGGAAAACCTCAAGAGGTTTCAAAAGAAAAATTTTCATTCAGACGCATATAAATAAATGTTGTTTCAAAACTGAGCATTTTCCAGAACACATCCTTAACTTTTATATGTAAAGCAAACAAAGAGAACAACAAAGCAACTTGAAATAAACCAACAACACTAACAATACACCACAAGAAATAGAACACAATAAGTTAATTTAGAAGAGCATGGAAATTCATAGACGTTCAATTTAGCCTTCTTCGCTTACGTGCATGAAGAACTCCATCCAAATCCAATGAACCAGAACAGAAGCAATGCTTCTTCCTCTTCTCCTATATGATGACCTTGAAGATCCTGCACTGTTGGCTTCCATAGAACCTTCTGGAAAACTGACATCCCCCTGTATTACTGCAGTTGTGATTGACCCAGAGACTTGATCAGCAGCAGAAGCCGATGCTAAATTTCCCTAGGTATCAGCTGCTCAGGACTGGAAGGATTCATCGAAGATGTTGACGGTCCATATCTATTATATGCATTGAATCTATTCCAAACTGACGGGCCAATTCCATCACTAAAAATTGAATGTATATCACTATTTCGAGGGTGAGTAGTAGTCGTACTCTCTCCACTCCGATGCCAATGAATATTGTTGTATCCTTATCCAGGGCATTGCGCATAGAAATTGAGGGTCGGTTTTGGATTTAATACTTTTTCTTAATCATGTTGCTCATATTCGAATAAAAATACAAGTCAATTGAAAATCACCTTTGTCTTTGCAGGGGGAGCCAAGCAGCGGGGTTTCTCTGGCCGGAGATTGGGTAAGGTCGTCGAGGTCCTCGCAGACCTCGAAGGTGAACTCGGCGTGGAGGTTCCGGAGGTTGTAAGCTAGGGTTTGGGATTTGGACAGAGTACGGTTAGGAGGAAGCGGGAGAGGGAGGGGCGAGCGGAGAGGTGGGCGGAGGGGTGGGCAGAGAGGTGAGTAGAGGGAAACAACTTGGGGGGAATTTTTACAGGATCTCTCACAAGATTGGGGGAAAATTTTAGAGGGGAAATTTTAGCGGGGAAATATTAGGGGGGAAGAAGTAGAGGAATCACCAGATCCGGATGAAAAAATCGCTCTCATAATTCAGCTGTCTACCCTCGCATGAGAAGGCGGAACAAGCCTTGTTCCGCCTTCCTTGGAGGAATTGTTAACCCGTGTTTTGACGGGATAAATGAGTTGTTGGCATCACGTGCGGGTTTATTAATCCTTTGTCATTTTTTTGTGTTTGGTAGGCTAATGGAGGGTTAAACCTCCTTAACCCCTCATTTATCCCCTTGCCAAACGCAGCCTTATTGTTTCGCAACATGAGATGCGGTTTGGTAGGTTACAACATTGCGGATATCAAACCCGAGACTGGATCCAAACCCGATTCTTCGAAGAACAATTTCCACAGTCTTATCGTCTTCCCGCGAAGCACCAGATCCGGTAGTCGTCCGCTCCAAAACCTCTCCCCTTTTATTCTCTATATATCAAAACCCTACCGTAGAGGAAAATCAATTTTCCCCAAAAAATGGATTCCTTCCTCACCCCTCTCCTCCTAACTTTAGCTTTGACCCTAACCTTATTCATTTCCCTTTCCTCCTCTTCAGATCCATCTGATCTCTTATCGGAGCTCCGATCTCTCCGTTCTCAGTCGGATTCGGGCGTGATCCATCTCAACGATCAATCCATCGCCCGATTCATCCTTAACTCTCCATCTCCTCGCCCTTACTCTCTCATCATCTTCTTCGACGCTGCTCAGCTCCGATCTAAGCCCGAGCTCCATCTCCCCCATCTCCGATCCGAATTCGCCCTAGTTTCCGTCTCCTACTTAGCTTACAATGTTGAGTCCGGATCCGGATCGGGACCCGATAAGGTCTTCTTCTGCGACCTCGAGTTTGGCGAGTCCCAGCACAGCTTCTCCCTCTTTGGCGTCAGCTCCCTCCCTCACATCCGCCACGTGGGCCCCGCCACGAAATCCCCAAGGAATCGAGGCCATGACCAGTCGGATTTCGCCGGACTCGCTGAGTCCATGTTCGGCCTTCGTTGAGACAAGACCCGCGTCTCTGTGGGCCCCATTGTCCGCCCGGCCCGATCTCGACCAAGCAATCGTATTCCTGCTGATCGCTTCTTGATCTCAGCGCCGTTTCTGATCAAGAGGGTGCTCGCTGGTGACACGATGGTCCACGATCCTAAGCTGTGGATGAGCTTAGCAGTGTTTGTGTACTTCTTTAGCGTTTCGGGGGCGATGCACAATATAATTAGGAAGATGCCCATGTTTATGGGTGATAGGAACGAGCCGGGGAAAATGGTCTACTTCTACCAGGGGTCGGGGATGCAATTAGGAGCTGAGGGGTTTGCTATCGGATTCTTGTACTCCGTCGTTGGGATGATTCTGGCGTTCGTTACGCATGTTTTGGTGAGGGTAAAGAATGTTGGGGTGCAGAGAGGGGTTATGTTTGTGGCCATGGTGGTGGCTTATTGGGCAGTGAGGAAGGTGATTTATCTGGATAATTGGAAGACTGGCTATAGTATTCATGCGTTCTTGCCTTCGGGTTGGTAGGGACTGAAGTTATGGAGTTCGGCGAGGTATGCATCTTGCTTTAAGATATTTCGGCTATATGTTCCTAGTAGAGCTTTAAAAGTTTTTCACTTGTTTGTCTTACATTTGCGATAGTTTGATATGTTTATAGTAGAGCTTTTGGATTTTCTTACTTGTTTGTCTGGCATTTGCCATATTGTGGTGCATTTAAATCTTGTTATTTGGGAATGTTTGAGAAGGTTATAGATCTTTAGAGTGATAAAAGTTTTGACAACAAGCGAAGTTTTGTGAACATCTCTTAAGAGAAAGATAATGAAACCTTCAGTAGCTTTAACAAAGTGCTATTTGGAGCTGGGAATTTACCCGGTAAGAAGACCCAATCTGGTACTGTACATGGTCCAGAATATTGATGGAATGATTGATAGGGTATAGACTATAGATTAAAATTATAACCCAACAGAAGTTTTTGGATAAATCACAGATAAAGAAAACCGTCGCAACCATGATATGGTCTTAGCCAGAACCTAAAAAAATGGGGTATGAATTTGAGAAACCAATCCCAATCTTACCCAATCGCATACTTAAGCCTGATCAAGCATGTACCATATAATAGTAAATTCTGACTCATAAACACATGAAAATGCACTCAAGCACACGATGATGTAGACATATGCATACATTTGTGACTTGTTCATGTAATTTTTTAATTGAACTTAAAATGATCTGGCTAATGATTTAACTACTAGATATGTTGTAAATGTGGAAACAAATATTTTTTGTTTAGTTTTGGATGCCCATTTTAACAGTTAACTAAATTACTTATACTTCATAGCCAGAAGTTGTACTCATGAAAGCACTCACAAATACTAAAAGATCATCTTAAAGGTTATTGTTTAGTATTGATCAACTCTTCATAGCATCATTTTGATAGATGTATAATTAAATTCTATTTTTATGACCACATGCTTAAAAAAATCTGATCCTAAAACGAAACAGATATAAAGTCAATGAGGATTGGATAAGATATGTGTGCTTTTGTTCATCCAAACTAGAAACTAATGAGTATTAAGTATCAAACCTGACCAATACTCAATCTCGGCTAAATGCCTCACTGATAGGATTCGGACCAAATCTAGAAATAAATCTTTGTTTTGTTTTGGATGGGCATATAGAAAATCCACAACCAACCCAATCCAATACTAGCCCTATTGTTATCAAAGGTGGTTCATCCTTATATTCCTCTTCAACTTCCTTTGCTTCTTTCTTCTTTTTTCTCTTTTATTTCTTCTACCTTTTACAGTTCTTATGCTATCCCATAAAACATTCCTCTATCCGCCTGCTTGCCAATTTTCACATGATTCGGATCCTCTCCACGAGAAACCACTACTTAGTCCAAATAGATCTTCTATTCCTTAGTTTGTTTCAACACAACATTTAAGGATTTTTTTTGGAGAAATCACATGCCAACTCAGAAAATAAGAAATGCCCATTTCCGAGCTTTGAGTTCGGAATTGGGATGAAAAGCATTAAATAATTATTATTTTTGCTATTCTAGTGATGGGTAAGTGAGGTTTCCTATTCTTAGTTTCTTTTTTTTTAGTTGTGAAACAAACAATGTATATGCGAGGAAATCTATTTCCAACCTTATTTTGTGATGAACCAAACAACCTTTAAAAGCACATGAAAGCAATATCTATGCTTGGAAATGAGTTTCCTATAATCAGGGAAACCAACCAAACAACCCCTAAACGTTGATTGATTAATGGAAGGTCGTGATTTGTCTTATTAAATGCAAAATAGGAATGAGTGCAATTCATAGGGATATGTTAACTACTTTTTTGGGGAATGAATTACAACTATCCATCACCATAATTAAATAATTAATAGTCTACTACTTTTTTGATAGTGGAGATGATCCAAATCCATTTTCACACTTCTATGTATTAAATTGAGGTGAATAATGTTAAAAACGCGATTTTGTTATGCGTACGGTCCAGAAGTGCTTAGCGGTTAATCAGATTAAACATTGATTAATCGAGTTATGTGGAATTATGCGTATTTGAATTTTTTTAATATAGTATTTATTATTTATCATAAGTTAAAATAAATAAAATTCATGAAAACAGAAAATGTACTAAGAAAAAGACCGACAAACATGCAATTTAACAATCAATAACTAGTTAACTACTTAAAAACTCAATCCATACATCAAAAATTACTAAATACTCAAATAAAATCGTTAAATTAAACACTTAAACCAAAACTAAATATCCATAAACCAAAACAGGTGGAAAATTGTGGAGCAAGGTCTGAAATTAGCGAACAAGATCAGCAATCAGTAAGTAAGGTCGTAAATATGCGGTCAAAGTTGGAAATAGGCAGTGATTAACATTGGAATCAGCGGTGAAAGCAATGGCTGAACTTCGGTTTTTGAGTTTCTTTGGGAGAGAAGTGGCGACAACAACGAAAAGTGGTGAGTTTTAGTGAGAATTTTGGGGAAGCGACGGGGATTAGGGTTTTAGAGAGAACGAGAAAAAGATAAAAGAGAGGGGAAGTGGCAGGTTTTAGTGAGAAGAGAAAGAGAAGAGGGTTGGTTTTTTTTAAGTTGTCGGATCGGGTTTGGATAAATTTTGTTTACACTGATCTGAATTAAAAAGCTCCCACATAAAATAATTATGCGGGCGCTTAATAAATACGTGTCCGCTTATGCGGGTGTCTGCATAATGGACCGATTTTTACCAATTCCATGCGGTTTGATGACGCTTTCAATCAATTGGTTGCATAAACCTTCTCTTAGAAAACACTGAAGGTGAATAACTTTGTAAAAACTACTTTTACAAAGTGTTATGGACCTAAAGCAGAGCCTTCAACCTTATGGTTTTTCTAGAGCATTATAATCCTAGATTTTTTTTTTCAAATTACAAAATCAATATTCTAAAAAACCTCTGCCTAGGCCTAGGTGGTACCTGAGCTGTCTGCCTAATGCTTAGGCGATACCTAGGCTACCCACCTAGGTTTTGGGAGCGTCTGGAGGAGCTTGGTCTGCTTACATCAACCGCACTCTTTAGATTTTGATCGTCATTTTCTCCGTTGCAGCCTCCACGTCCTCCAATCTCCTCCATACTCATCTAGCCTCCAACTATGAACACCTCTTCTATCTTCTCTGACCTTTAGCAAAACCTCCTTCACCACCATTTAAACGAAGAAAGAAATTCACCTAGAAACTAGTTTGACGCCTAAGCTTTCTTTAACATTGGATTTTACTATTAATTATTGTAATTAAAAAATAAAAAATAGGAAACCCGCCTAGGCTCTTCGGTGCCTAGGCTCTAGGTGTCGGGTCCAATGCCTATGCTGCCTAATGCTTTTTATAACCTTGTGCAAACTCTTCTACCCTTTTCTTGCACTTTTTACTAATCTATTCTGTATATTTCAGCAATATATCCTCATTGTAATTATCCCATATATCTATGATCTGCTGCATGGGTTCTTTTACTACCCAAAAACCACTTAAGTTTTGTTTATTTTCAATTGTTTTTCTTTATGTTTTTTGAAGATTATACTAGTATACTAGCTAACTTATTTGATTTTTCCTATCACCTATGCTCACAAAGCATATTTAGAAGGTTGTATACAAAAAAAAAAAAAAAATCCAACTCTCCAATCTTATAGGTGTTGGTAAGTGTCCACCCAAGTCTATGATGGTGAGAGTGGATCAAGTGGCTTGTAGGGAGAACATGACAATACCACATTGGAAGGAACATGCTGTATCCTTTTGCTGGACAAATAACCAGTGAATGAATAAATTATCAGTAGAATCTTTACTCGTGCTCTCATAAATACCAACATTTACATGATATCAAGTAATCTTGGAAATTTTTATGAAACATAATTTTAGAAGCACCAAAAATTAGTTTAACTAGTGTTAATCTTAGCAATGGTCAAGATGAGCATAAAACCCAAATCAAGTAATGTGTCCTGACAATATTGTGCTCAACTAAGAACTCCTCTTGTGTGCAGGTAGTAAATCATAGGGTTTCCCCCCATAGAAACCACCTTCAAGTAGGGTCATTTTATAAAAACCACTTTTGAATTATAATTAATACATAAATTGGCTTTAAAGAGAAATTTGGTGCAATCAACCAACTCCTAGTCAAATTTTCACTGAAAAGTTAAAAATATCCTTAAAAAACTCACATTCAGAACACTTGACTCACTTAGTTAATGTTTAGGTCACGTTAACATACAAATCACATGCTTTGAACATGAGTTTTTTAAGGGCATTTATGGGTTTATAGTTAAAATTTGACTAGGAGGTGGTTGATTGCACCCACTTTTTCTTTAAAGATGGTTTATGTATTGTTTAAAATTCAAAAGTGGTTTCTATAGAATGACCCCATTTTAAAGGTGGTTCTAAATCATATCATTGTGAACGGTTCAAATCACTTTGTTGAGTACAACATATAATGGTATTTACATTGCCATATTCGATAAAGACATGTTACATCTAATAAATTCAACCAAATCAACTTGTATCCTTACAATGTAACCCCCCAAAAAAAACACAGTGTACAGGGGGATTGTAAAGGTCTCAAACTAAACGTAGATTAACTAGAAATCTAAGAAAGAAGATAATATAATATCTTATGCAAGGGGACGATGGATCGACAATAGGCTTATTAGTTTCCAATCAAGCACTCATCATAATTGGACTTAACACAATTTCCTATCATCTAGTTTTATCTGATTTCCTAGAAGAAAGGCCAGCACCAAATCATTCATAAGATAATTGAAGCTTTTGCTGCAATAGTAGATATTCATAAGAAAAGGAGATCACTTGCAAGCTAATATATAACCTGGGCTTCCCTTTTGATGCATTTGGACTGTAAAATCCTACACCTTTCAAGTCAACACACAATGCAACATTCTACTTAAATATATCAAAAGAACATCTGCTGAAAACCTATTATATTTGATAAAGCAAATGACTAACTAGTTAGGATGGTATCTTCTCTCTCTCATCTAGTACACCTATGATGTCTTTTCTAATGGTTGGTAGCCAAATATGCACGCAAATATGAAGTATACTATACTTCTCTTCACACATACATGCCTTTATCCTTTGTTGATAATGAGGTCAAATTTCCAGGCTTAGGTCATCGCTCTTTTGCTCAAGCCCCGTCTGAATTGAGGATTGAACACTCGAACCTGATCAGTAGTTTCTACCTTTACCTCTTTATCTTTTGTGTGACCCACTTTAGTCATATCTTCAACTGCTTTTAAGAATCCGGAGGATCTTGTCTATGCAACATTTAGCGTGAGTAAAAGATCTTACAGTATCTCCTTTCTTGGAAGCTAGCTGATAATTAATTTAGAAAAGATATTATTTACCGCCATCTGAGTCTGATCAAATATGCTAGGAATAGTCCTGTTGCTCAAAGTCATTCGTTTCCCCCCGTTGGTCTGGATGCTGACACAGATGCTCACACTTGATGTGAAAAACACTCATAAGTCATATGTATCAAGTTATAAAAGAAGAGGTTATGTAAAATCACATTACTGTGTATCTACAGGTAAAAAGAAGAGGTTAACTGAGCCTTGATTCCGTGATAGATTGGATGAAATACAGAGATATTTTGGAAAGAGCCCTATGGACAACAACCAGGAAGAAATTTTAATAACAAGTGAATCCACAAACATCGGCGTATGTGCAACTTGAGAAAATTCAACTAACCATATTTATGTATGATGGTAGGCAGTTATTGGAAGTAGGACATGCCGAGCCACATAATTTGCGTGTATTGAAATATGTAAATGCATACTTGGGGAAACAGTCACTGACTTATTGCTGTACATGGATGCATACCTATATTTCCCCCACTTTCAGTAATGAAACCGATTAAAACCAGGAACATTTCATGTTTTTTCCTTCTTCCTGATATCATTTATTCATCGTGTTGGTGTTGTTAATCTACTATTGACGTATGCACTACAATTGATTGCTTCTTTGTGCTGCTAGCTCACTCTATGGTCCAGAAGGATTGTCGCCTGAGGGTTGATAGCCCACATGCTAATCCTACCTCACATTTTTGCCTTGATGCAACTTCACCTTATGTGTGTTGTCTCTTTAGCTTTAGATGTGACTACTGGATCTTGCATCGCGCGCGGAGATTCCTTTGTTATGACCATGATGCTCTATATAATTTATTTTACCAGCAAACATCAAATTGTCTAGGTATTTCTGGTGTGGGGTTCGTGAGATTCCATGGCCAGGTCATACCCGTGCTGTTGTGAAATGAGTGACAAGTCCATTTGGTAGTTTGACTATACATTAATAGTACAGGATCAACATGAGTGGTGCCTAGGACATAATGGCAATTCATGTTGTTGATTATTCTAGAGACGGCTTCTCTAGTTGAATAGGCAATTCGCATGAAAACATTTCTTGCATGATGAATTGTGGTGATCTATAGATTGAAATCCAACTCTAGGAACGTTGGTCCAGAAACTATTGGCTGTTAGCCATGATTTGTATTCTCTATCTGAAAGAATTCTTAAGCAATAATCGGAAAATGGCAAATCTCAATTTTATCACGTTAAAACTGCTTGTGATATTTACATATTTAGATAAGTTAAAGTTTTCAACACACTTTTCTTTTTCTTCAAGTTATCAGACTGTATTTGCAGCATGTGAGGACTGATTATTCAGAGTTTGACAATCTACATGACCCATTTGTCATTCGCATGACATAGATCACGTAGGCTAGTCATATGCAGCTGCACGATAAATATATCTTGCAATTCTCATACAAATGATACATATCAGACTGACTATATAAATATGAAGCTGCTATGACAATTTTATAAAAAAATTTAGTAGTCCTTAAGGAGAGCTTTTATGACCTTACTGCATGCACATCCTGATATAGATGGGAATTTTTTTAAGGAAGCTCACAACTATTGTTAATTTGTGAAAGATTCTTACTGGCTTTGGCAAATTGCTTATCTTCAGCTAAAGGTCAGATGTCTTTTGAAATATACTGGTATTATGTGCTTAGTTTACGTGAGCATTGTACAGTAGATGCCAACAGATTCCTTACACCAAAAAAACACATTCCTTGCACCAAAATAACACATTCTCATAAGCAAAACCCTATGTACTTCAAGCTGGAAACCATGAAATGTCAACTTCACATCCACGCGAGGAATGGATGTTTCACATCATGACTCTGGGGGATTTCGCATAACTAATGTATGCCACAACATAAACCCAACATAAAAGGGTTTCTTCCATCTAGATGCTATAAAATATTTTCCTTGTCAGAATTCTCTTGCTGTGAAACATATCATTGTTTCTTAGTTTTGGAAATTGTATCATCTTTTGCACTTAGCTTGACGGCTTGATGTAACCACTGTCTAAACGATACCTCAGTTGTTCATATGGGCCTCAAAGGATATCTGAATTGTTCACATGATTTTCGCAAGTAAAGAAATACTGCCCCTGATAGGTATTTGAAGTTAATCCTTTTCTAGCTTTCACTTCGTTGATTCCTGTTTTCTTTTTCCTCTATTAGTGTTCCTTATAACTTGCCAGAGTGACCTGGATTTTCTGAAGTTTACGTAGTATTTGACTATTTGCATTCATGAATGCGGAGAGGGTAACAAGAAGAATCTAAATCGTGGAAATTTTGCTAGCGTTTTAAGTTTTCCCTGGAGTAGTCTTTCCACTAAGAACAACTAGATATCTGAGGAGAACACAGTCCAAATTTCTATTCAGTTCATAGAAGATTTTATCATCACAGGTTTCACAGTTGTTAATAAATGATCTCATCGTAAGAATAATTGTTGTCAAGTACCTATTTCGTGAATTGAAGGGCGATGGAGGGTTATAGCATATTGTTTTGTGATACATAGATTGATCTCTTCTTTATATTTATACTGGCATGTTATTTGTATGTTCTTTTTTTTTAATCTTTGTGGTTTCTAGCTTTGTTAGAATTGAATTTGTGCAAGGTATTTAACTCTTTGCTACTTATTGTGGTATTTTCAGGAAATAAGAATATGCGCCCAGCCCAGTATTCACTGCCTTTCTAAGATTAAGGGAACCCTATTTTTGGTGAGACTACGTTTGGGGGATCGTAATTCAATTGGGACAAACATGTTTGGACTTTATTACCTCGCAGCATACAGATGAAATCTTAATTACTACCCATATTTGAGGAAATAACTTCAGAAATACAATTATGATAATATTATTTGTCACCTATTTCTCTAGGTTACTGGTTTGGTTAGCCCCTTTCCCTCATAAACTCTCTATGTTAAACTTATATAGACAATTTTTGTGATGCATTCTAGTTTCATATTTAGTCTACGCAGTCTCGCGAGCTCCTATTTCTTCTTAACCCTGGTGTTCTGTCTGAGGTAAGTTCTTGCAGTCCAAGTAGGGATATCAATGAAACAGATACAACCGATATAGTTTATATTGCTCTGGCTTATTCTTGCAGATAAGAGTATATGAATATTGTCCTTATGTTAAACTTGGTGAAAATTATTCTTTATTATCAAGTTTCATATCCTTAATTTGTCTGCGAGCATATGGTAGATAAAATACATAAATGTATACATGTCCTAATGTACTCATGTATACTTGGTAACTTGAGGCAACTTGGATAGTTTGATGTTGAACATGTGTTATATCAAATGGGATCCTCCGTTTGTTTTGATTTTTTTGAAGAGGAAAGCCTGCCAAAACTGACAGTTTTTGTCAGTTTTGGTAGCTTTCACACCACTTTCCTCTTCAAAAAAATCAAAACAAACGGGCATTATCTGCATCTACTCCCTAATTCTAAAGCAAGAGCATTTACTTTAGGCTTTAAACGCTCTACGGTCTGTATAGATTTTACAGCTCATGTGCTAGGAGATTGTAATTAATGGAATAGTGATGATTTACAAATTAATGGAATAGTGATGATTTACACCCCAGCAAACAAACGAGTGACGATGGAGGACAAACAAACAAAGGGTCATATGAGGACAGAAAAGCCCATGTAGGAGGTGATGCAACTTTAAAGAAACAGCCATATAATTAGCACAAATATCTTCAGTTCAACATCACGTCCACGTGGTGAGCGACGACACCTCAAAATAGATAGGAGCCACATACGATGATAATGCAATTAGGAGCGCATCACAAATCATCTACAACCAAAAAGATAAATTAAATGTATCAAAATCTTGAGCGGAAAATCATGATATAGGATGAGAACAAGGCAAAACATCAATCATACATATGTGGTTAGATTTGGTCTCCACAATGTTCAAAAATTCTCATATAATAATTAATTCAATCCTTCCCGGACGGACCTTGATATTTTCAGAGAGGCAAATACCAGTCCACAAACACGGAAGTATCTAATTTTTGTTCTAGCATATTCTATGGATGTGAATAATAGTAATTCCTTTCTTATATCACACTAAATTAATACATTACCAACACAATGAATCAAAAACCATACGCACCATTAAAGCAGTTAATAAAAACCATTTTACTTTTGGTTCGAGCAGAAGCACCTAAGAATTAGTCAACAAAATGACACCTCTATAACCGTAATCATTCCTCCAATTTTGATAACGCGTCCAATACTTGGCTAATAACGGTCCAGGGCCGTTTTTTGCCACAAAAGACGGAACAAATTGTGGCATTAACGCATCTTATTATTTTATCTAGCAGCATAAATCATCCGCACGCATGCAAAGCAATGAACCACCAAACGCTCGAAAGACCAGAAAAGTGAAATCCAAAACCCCCTCGTTTATTTACTTATTATTATCGCAGCATTCCCTAACACCGGACCAGCATCGACATATACATAAAAACCAACAGCCACCCCCTACTTGTGAACACAGGAACTCAAAAAACAAGCATCACAGAAACAAAGCTCCACAATGTAGAACCATCTCTAAGCATCAACAACAACATCTCCGCCATCGTTCGAAGCCAAAACCATCTCGGGATGCACAGCTCCTTCCAACGAGTTCGGCTTTCCCAGCGCCTTCAGCGCCAGGTGCGCCGCCTTCTGCCCCGATATCATCATCGCTCCGAACGTCGGCCCCTGTCACCAAAAAAAAAAAATCGATCACCAGACAGGGAAAAAAAAAACAAGACAGAGAATTTACATAAGGGGAATTTTTTTTTTTTACTAGTTAGTGTTTCTTATTTTCTTACCATTCTCGGAGATCCGTCGATCTCAGCAACCTCCATCCCGGTAACGATCATCCCGGGCACGACCTCCCTCGTCATCCTCACGATCTCGTCCTCGGCCGCGTTCATGTCAAGCGCCTTCATCCCGGGCACGGTGTCAATCATCCCGACGCTCCTCAGCCTCTTAACCCCAGTAGCCCCAAAAGGCCCATCATGCCCACAAGAGCTCACCACAACCTTAGCCTCCATCACGTTCGGGTCCATGCACGACTGTGTATCGTGGTTCATCGACACCAGCGCCCAGTTCGTCACGACTCCCCCGACCCTCCCGTCCTTGATTATCAAATCCTCCGCCGCCACCGCGTTGAACAGCTTCACGTTGGGCCGCATCAGGAGCTTGCTCATGATGGTGGAGGTGAAGAGGGCGGCGTGCTTGATGACGACGTAATCGTCCTGCTCGTCGTAGGGGACCTCGAGCTCGTCGAGGAAGAGGTGGGCGGGCTAGCGGACGACCATAGCAGAGAAGAGCTGGCCGCCGAGCCAGGCGCCGCCGCCGGGGGAGACAGACTGCTCGATGATGGCGATGTTGATGTCAGGGTTCTTGGAGAGCTCGTAGGCGCAGGAGAGGCGCGGCGGATCCCGGCGCCGACGACGACGAGGTCCGGGTCGCGTAGGTGATCATGTCGGTCATGTAGCGGCGGGTCATCTCGCGGAGACGATGGATTCCTTGATGGGGGCGGAAGCGGAGAGGATGAGAGGTCGTAGGAGGCGAGATTTTGGGAGACAGGGTGATGATAGATGATGATGACGGGGGAGAGAGAGATTTGGGTTTTGAAGGCCGGAGGAGAGCTTGACGCCATGGAAAGGAGGAGGAGGAGAGGAGGCTGCGGTTTGCTGGGGTTGGAGAGGAGGGAGGAGGTGCCATGGAGGCTTGCTGGGCCATTTTTGGACAAGGTTGGAAGTGGGACGGGGGAGGGCTCTGCTGGCCTTTTTTGGGGGAAGGGAGGTTTGGGGGGTTTTTTTGAGAGTGAGGACGAGGGCAGTGAGGGGAGGAGGGGTATTTGTAGGGGGTGAGGGGGCGGAAATATCGAGGACACGTGGAGGTTGGATAGAGAATGTGTGGCTGTGTCTTTGTTTCGCGTTGGGCTCTGGAAGGGATTTTTTTTAGGTAGGTTCATGCTCTTAGCTTTACCCAGTTCTGCAAATTTCGATGGGGTAAGCTGATGCATTTGATTAAAATTCATGAAAAACTTCCATTGAGGAATTTTTTTACTAATGTATTATTTATTTATTTATATTTTTGAAAAAGTTCTTTACATGATATTTTATATATTATTCCATGGCTTCTATATGCGCATCTAGTTTTAGCTGTCTATAAATTAAATGTAATCCAAATACATATAATATTTCACGTTTATGCCAACTATCATGGCTAAATTAAGTATAAAGAAAAACATATTCTCTTTTATAATATAAAGATATTTTGCACTTATCTCAGGTAGCTGAAAAATCTGAACATGTAGGAATTCGTGAGAGGGGGAGGATTGGTTCCCCGTTATACCTCCAACGATCAAGTTAGTTAATGAACTTGAGTGTGAGGAAATATGAACCGTGAGAGTTCTTGCAATTGTGTAGTGTTTTGCGTTAGAATATCAGATCTGTGATATTATTGTTTTATCCCACCCTTTGAATATTAGAATAGTACATGTATTTATACCTAGGGTATAAGGGCAGGTTCGTCACTTCGGCCGAGAGCAGGAGGTGATGGCGAAGCGTGGGCTGTCAGCTGAGTCAGCCTCTGATTAACAGGTGTCGGCTGGCGACTAGAGGATGTGTCACTTCGACATCAAGTGGGAAGCGACTGGCGAGCATGAGCTAACAGCCGAGTCAGCCTCTGCTTTACAGTTGTCGGTTGGCGACTATATGAGTGATCACTTCGGTATTGAATGGGAAGCGACTGGTGGCATGACAGAGCCCACGTGGTCCGATGAGTCATGAATGCTATCAAGGCTAGAGGCATGATGCGACTGACATGCATTAAATGCGATAGGGACGCGTTGTCAGTGAGGATAAGCTTGAAGGAGTTGATATCATTTGCCTTCATCGAGAAGTAACGCCTTTCGAGTCGGCTTCGCAAGGCGTTAGAGAAACGATCAAGTGAAGTCAGAGTGAGTCGTCTTCGACAAAGAGGGGCGACATGTTCTGCCTTTAGAGTCGACATAAGGGAACGTCGAGTCCTCAAGTCGGCTGAGCAGTCGTCCCTACTGGTCTCTGGCCGCTAAGTTGATTGTGGTCTAACATGCAGAACATTTGTCCATAGCTTGGCAATGACTTTGCACTTTAGCGAATGAGAACACCATAAAAGTGTCCATCGTGAATAAGCTTTAACTATAAATTAAATAAAAAGTAGGCTAAACATGGAAACAACGAAGAGGAAGAAGGACGAGATACATATGACTTGTAGAAAACGGCGTCAAATTGTTCAAAGTGTTGACAAACATGAAGATTCGGCAGGGGTGTGGTGTCTACCACACCTAGGTGTGGTAGAATCTGTCACGTTTTCAAGGGTGTGGTGCGTGACACAGTCATTTTTAGATTCCCACCATGTTTGGGATTGTGTTTTGTTATAAATAGAAACACGCTTTTTAGGGTTTCTTAAGAAGATAATTAGCATTGTTTTGAGCACTTTGAGAGGGAGATATCGTGAGGGAGTTGAGAGCCTTGGTTAGGGTTATATTTGAGTGCTTTTATGAGTTGTAACCCGTTGTATTTCTCCTTCATATAGTAAAATCTCCTCATACTCTCCCTATGGACGTAGGCAATTGTCGAACCACGTAAATCTCTGTATTTGGTTTGATTTGTATCGTATTTGGTGGATTGCACTCGTGATTTGATTTGGTTCTCTTCTCTCGTGTCTTATCGATTCGTTTGGTGTGCGAGCACTCTTTCGAAAGACGCGCAACATGACTATCGACATACTTAAATTGTCATTTACGATAAAAAAGAAATCATAAATAGACAATTGTTTTTATATTTGGTGCAGAGTTTAATAAAAATTAGAAAAAGACATAAGGTGTTAACTGCAAATACTTTTGGAGTGGCTTTTCAGATCTTTTGGTAGTGGACCAGGAAGAAGGAAGAGTAACCGTCAAAATTCACAGGTGGTGATCACTGTCGCTGAACAAGTGGGAGGCCCTCGGAGGGGGCTTATTATTCTGCTTCCCGGTGATTACGGTCATTAATAAAGTCACCTTTTTTAATAAAAATAAATAAGCGAAGTTGCCAAATTTAAACTTGGATCAATTGGCAAATTTTGGTTGGTCATTTTAAACATTTCTCGGTTTATTTTCTTTCCATTAGAATCATCATTGTTTATTTTCTTCTCACAAAGTAACTTTGAATGGGCTAAGCTCTCCAACGGGTATAAAAGAAGAAAAAGGGAAAAAAACGAATTTTTTTCATCTTTTATTTTAAATGATTTTTTTCCCCTCATTTGGAACATTGAACACCAATACTTGTAGATATAGTTTTTTTTAATCGAAGTTATATATTAATAAGAATTTGACTATAAGCAAATTGTGGAAGTCCATTTAAAATTAAGTCCAAATTCCAATTTATCTTTTGATAAAAATTTTGTAAAGTCGTGTTCATCAGACAGATAATTGTGTAAAAAGAAAAAGGGCGCATTAAACCACGAATTTTTAATTTTACTTCACTATTGTCATATGAAAAAGTTGAAGACAATGCAAGTGATATTTTTTTTCTGAAGAAAAGTTAAATAGTAAAGGTAAACACTCTATAGAATTCGACTCTTATGATACCCGGAGTGAGTGTACCTACTGCATCCTTGTCTAATTTTCTTTTTTTTTTTTTTTTTTTGGCTCTCAGTTCGTTTTCACGTCCAACTCATACTTTTTTCTTGGCTAGCTTTTTGCACGAGTGGTCACAGCAAAAGCATGATATCATGTTGATACACAAAAATTCACGGAGTAGGACCAACAAATTTGTTATTTTTTTTTTTTTTTTTTTTTTTTGGCTCTCAGTTCGTTTTCACGTCCAACTCATACTTTTTTCTTGGCTAGCTTTTTGCACGAGTGGTCACAGCAAAAGCATGATATCATGTTGATACACAAAAATTCACGGAGTAGGACCAACAAATTTGGTCCTTTGATTCTTGTAGCTTTTGGAATTATCTCCTCTCATATAGAGGACCACGGCCCATTTGAGAAAATATCTCATGACTTATTTACTATAATGGGCTCCATAAAACGTTTTCTAATTGCATATACATCCAAATATTAATCATACTTAAGTTATCACATGATCATGACACGTTGATTCTGGAATGTCCTTTCCGTGACCTCCTGATTTTGCTCTCTCATAATTATTTACAATTGCTCATTCTTTGTATAGATGACAAGCACTCTCTACAGATATTTAGAACAAGTGCCGTACTCGACTACAATGTTTGAAAGTTACATGATGGCGATGGATCATGAATCGTGATAGCATTATCTCAAAATATTTTTCTTGACCTTGAACCCACATCATTAGCACTTTATTTTTAGTTTGGTTTTGTTTGTTTATTTATTTATTTGGCGTAAAGTTTTGAATGTAGGGCAAAAGATATTGTTCATTCTCACGTTGAAAAGTTATGCTATTAACTTGTTTCTTCGGCATGACATGCATTATCTGCATTCGGATTTGTTTATGGTAGCTGGCCCTTTTTGTGAATAGATGGGCCTTCTATCGTTTTATATACAATTCTAAATCAAACAGCTATATGGGCTGGATTTGGGCTTGTAAGTAAATTTTTTCATTTAATGTACGATAGGAAATCAAAAACTTCTGTCGGTTGGACTTCGAATGGTTGTAACTACGATGATCGAGTCAACAAAAAGATCACCAACTGAAGTAGGCTGGGAAATCGACTTTGTTTGGGCTCTAATTTTAGCGTAAAGAATAAAATTGGGGCCTATTGCCATCATTTTCAGGCCATGCCGTACAAAGTCTTCTTCTAGATTTCTGAAGGCCATATTTTCATATAACTTACATCTTAAACTGGTTCAGGATTGGGAAGAGGTTTCGACAGGACCATCTTTGTAACGGATCAACAAGCTATTGGGCCGATTGGGTCTAGCATCATCATATTGTTCATATTCCTTATAATAGAGTTAAGTTTTAGGCAGTGTGTTTTTTATGAGTAAATTACACTCAAATACCCTAAGGTTTGCCAAAGTTGCACTGAAGTACCCTAAATTTCATACTGTATAAATAAATACCCTAAGCTTCTCAAAAGTTTCTACCATTAGAAAAGGGTGACGATGTTAACTTTACCCGATAAAAGTCATTAATGCTCTTTATTAAATTCACCCACCCTTTGTTACAAACTTCCCCATTGGTAATAACTCCCTCTCATTACAGTTTCACCAACTTTCCCCAAATTACAAGTGGCCTATGGTAAAATTGGATCTTTAGTTTGGAACTTGCATGCAAATTGTCTTCCTGGAACTTGAAGGAGGTGGATTTTTTTTTTGGCAAGGTCACGTGGATCTGGGTGTGACAGTGACCTAAATTAGATGCCACCCACCCCCCTCCCACAACCCCCCCAAAAAAACATGCCTTTTGGGCCCAAAAAAGTAGGCGCATTTGCATAAATTCCTTGTTAAATTATAATTCACTTATGAATAAGAGCAGTTTGATGTTAAAATAATGGGTTGTTTGCATGATGATTTTATGGGTTAAATTGAATATCGTTATTGATGTCCTAAGACCTAACAACGAGATTAGCGGATAATTACGAGTTTAGCAAGAGAGCTTATGGTTGATATGAGTGATGTGGGTTCATCTCTTTTTTAAGACCGGTCTCCTGTCTGTATAAGAGAGCTACACAATAACACTCGTTAGAGGACCAGAGTTGAGTTCTCCAGTGATTCCTCTGATAGTCATGTCAGTATTTTGAGCTTGAGTGGAGAAGATACCAATGAACTGAAAATAGTTCTAAGCATGTAGAAGTTGCATACATGTGGCCGCCGGGGGGCTTTCCCCTCCAGTGTCTCCTCCTTCCGCTAGTAGGCAATGAGCCCTTATATATATCCACTTGAGGGGTAAATATGTAACTGTGGCCGAGTCCAGGTAGACAACTGACTCGATATACAGCTGACAGGTGTCGGCTATGGGTGGCATGGGTCATCCAGGTGGTTAGTGCAAAGCCACAACAGCTGCTTGG